TTTCATGGTAACCTATTTACACATTGTCAACGTCAAAACCGATGTGTGTGGACAAGGCAACGTCAAAGCCGTTTCGGTCCTTGAAACGTGTGATATTCACTGACGAATCGTGATTTGACCTGCGTAATAGTGAAGGCAGAATTAGAGTTACAATGGTGAACGACATCCCAATTTGATGTAACATTGGATGACAAGGTGGTGAAATTTCTTTCAATTTCAAAACCCCGCTGGTAATATGACAGTCATAAGCTACATTCTACAACATACTGTTATTCAAGTTTTCGACACGCACCTCGAGGCTGAAATTCTTCACCAGGATAACGCTCGTGCACACTTCGCTAAACTGACCATTGACTTTCTTCGTCAGTGTACTGTTCTAATATTAAGATAAAACATCAGAGAAGAGAGTCGTGGCTTGATAACACCATGCTGTATTTCCGGTAAAACACACAGACAGCCACGTTTTGCTCTACCCAGAAATTTCTTTCCTAAAGGCCCTACATTGGATATTGAAGTTTATGTATTTATCTATTTATTTATTTACTTTAATCTTTAGAATATCAGATCTTAGGAATACAGGCTCCTACAAATATTTTAGAAATGCACATAGTTAGATTAAGAAAATATTTTTTAATTAAAAATGATGTATAGATTTTTGTTGATATTTGGTATTTAAACAAGTATGGACAAAATCATCTGCTTGAAAAGCGGATGTATTGTTTACAGCTCTTGATGTTTCAAGGTAAAATGTATTTTTGTGTTCAAGATGGACACCTTGCCTTCATAATACATAATATGCGGCCAAGCTAGGCGATCGATAAGTAGTTTTAGCAAAATCCAACGCTCCGTAATGTAATTTATTGCTCGTTGTCACCTGTAGATAGGGTCAGTGGGACCACATACATGACGACTTCGCCGTGTGTACATTCACCTTTGCCTTGGTGAAGCCCGTCAAGATAAAGCAAAAACACATAGAGTATCCTATGTTTGTTAAATATTTTAATACATGTTTGATTACTCAGCAACTACAATCTTTAAGATTGTACAAAGAACATACCACACGAGTAAACAGCACTTTTAAGTACAAATTTAGAGTCAGTTTCACTTGTGCCAAACAATGAATTAAACTGTATCACATAGCTGATTCGTCCTTTTAGGACTCGTCAGTGATACTAAGGGCCTAAACTTTGGAACCTAGGACATTGAGGAAATATCAAGAAAGAATAGGAAATACTCAAAAGTAAAATTATAGATGGTGAGGTTGCACAATAATTCAAGAAATTTCATAATTTTTAAATATTTGATAATGTTAGAACAATGTACATGTGTAACTAATGAACAATGATTGTTAATGCAAAAGCTATGCACTCATGCAAGTATATATTTATATGTGTGTGTGTGTGTGTGTGTGTGTGAGAGAGAGAGAGAGAGAGAGAGAGAGAGAGAGAGAGAGAGAGAGAGAGAGAGAGAGAGAGAGAGAGAGAGAGGAGCACAATGGTATACCTTACAAAACTGCAACACACCCTGTCTAAACATATCCAAATGTACATTCATCTAAAACGTACGAGGACGGCATATTTTTTGTTCTACCTACAAGGCTACACTATCAGTAGATCAGCTCTGGTTTCGTTGACGTCCTTGCTGATAAAGCCTTGTATCGGAATCACCTCAGACTATAACGTACGTTATTCATCGAAAGTTTATTGTTATGCTAGGCAATATTACAATGTGTGTTCAAAGTGGTTGTGCTGGGATAGAGCCCATTAAGATATTTAATTAAATATATAATAAGTATATACGGTTATATTCATTACTTTATTGCTGATAAAGTTTATCTTTTGAGATAAAACTGAAGAGTCCTGAAACATATAAAAGCAGCAAAGTTGTTCATACTACCATGGATACATGGATATTCATTAAATATCGATTTTAATGTGAATTTCACATACACTTCTATACTTTGAATATGAGTTAACATGAATATAACACACTTCAGACAGGTGTTCCCTGTGTATTATATTTCATAATAAAATGCTCCACTAAAACATCCCTAGCAGGCTTGTAAATGTTATCTTGCCAATGTAAATAAATGTCTTAAAATAATACTTCTTCCATTGTATTTAACTTATTTATCTCCTTCTGACTCCTAGCTATAAATACGTCAGAAGTAAGAACGGAATGACTCGTTAGGATGTTATATGCAAGCAACTGCAATAAGTCGCAGATACATAGTGAGATTATATCCAATAGATATTTTATGAGCACGATTTTGAAAAGCACCAAGAAAATAGGGCAAACTATGAACAAAAGAAAGATTTACAAGGAGACTCCTGAAAAAGTACAAGAAGAATAAGACCATGTGTTCTGGGTGAATAATGCCACGTTCACAAATGGGAACAAGGTATACAAAAACGGAACCAACAGGCAAAATAACGAACATTATACACGCCCAACTTCATATCACAAAGAGAAATAGAATATTTCTCAATGGGATCACTACGGTGATCATATAACTTCACCATGATTTTCATCAATATTTTGAAACCCTGTGGTACGGGTTTGTCAATCAGTTGGAGACTTCTTGCATAAAAATCGTGATAATAGGAACGGGCCCTTGAATATCGAATCAATCATAGGGATAAAGGTATATTGCTATCCTGAAGTTTTATCATACAGCTTAGTGGAAAGCTTTCCGTATTGGTTTCGTTGTAGAAAAGCAACTCATGTAGAAGAGTCTGTCGTGTCTTTGATTTCCAGTTCTGGTGGGAATATACGATGGACGTGGTCTATAAATTTCTTGTCATTCAAAGGCAACATGTCAGCCTTATATGGAAACAAAAAAAATTCTCAACTGAGTTTCATCCATTCTCTAGAATTTTCTAGAAGCAGAAGACGCTTACTCTTCCGAAGCACCTGGTCTAATGACATTCTCCTTGAACATTTTTAGTTTGAATTATGATCATGTTGCTAGTTGTTTTGTTTTGTTTTTTGGGTTTTTTTAACAGAATCTCAGTATCTGGAATTCGTATTTCAATAAATGGACAGGTTTTTTATGATATTTACAACCTGTCATGAAAAGGCCTCATAGCTTAACATTTTGAATAATGATTAAATCACCAGTAACTATGTGTGAAGTTGGACCATAGTTGGACCATCGTTATTAGTAGAGGTAGAACAAGAACAAGCTGGGTAGTATCGTTTGAGTGGTTCTTACGTCATCTACATGCAGTTGTTTCAGCGTTTGTTTGTAGTTGAAGAGTTTTTTTCATGCAATGGGCTTTTACATGTGTATTTCTACTTTAAGATTATGATAGCATGTTAGTTTGATCAGACTCCTGATGTAAAATATATTGTTGTTGTTAATATCATTCATTCCCATATTTGGAAACTCAACTTTCTTAAATTGGCTAGTTGTAGGAGGATCGCGGCTATCTGTATGGAGAGGTTTTAAAAGCATTACTTATGCCATATCAGTGATTGTATGAAGCTTACAAGCTAGTGTCCACAGGTCAGCAGAAAAAGTATTGCCTAAACCCATTTGTAGTCTTCATAGAACGGAGAGAGGAACGTATTTCGAACATGATGGCCCGTAATGATTTCTATAAAGTATTCATTAGTTTTTCTTAATTTTAAACATTATGGTATATCCACTAGACGTATTGTCATGCAGGGATCCGTGGCGACGATTACATCTACAATAACGGAAATGATATTGCATCGAGGTCTGGACAAATGTCATACACACGGAGTTCACGCAGTCATTGCAACCATATGGCGCAGTGTGGAGTCATGGTGGATATAAACATTGATTCTCTCTGCGATTCACAGCTGAAGAATGACAATTCATACGTTGTCGTAGCTGTCCTTTTATTTCACCAACATATACTAAACCACATAGAATACATTCAATACCATAAACAACGTAGGTGATGTTACACTTTAGGGGCTCAAAGGTTCAGGAAATATAAACTTATAATGTAAAAGTCAGAGAACTAAAGTGTTTTGATATTTCAAAGTTAACATATAGAGTATGGATTCCGGATAGTCTCAACATGTCCAACAATCGTATTGTTGATATTAATTAGCTAGAAGCATCATGTCATTCGACAAATACAAAACAAGATAATACAACCTATCCTAACTATTCATATAATATCCGTCAAAATTGGTTATTATATATATATATATTTATATAAATGCTGAATTTATGTCACTTAACCATAGTAATGTTCATATAAAAAATGGTATCACATTGTCTTCTTTACATTACATTCTATAGCAAATAATCATTGGTTGATATTTCAGTTTTATAGTCAGTCGTGTTATTTATTTGTTTATTGATGCCCTACTTACCCACTATCATGATTTAACAATAACATCATTCTAGAATTCAGAACTGAAAAAAGTCAAAAGCTAGTCAGTTAGTTTTCTTTATTATTACTTTTGCCAAGACTTGATTTACGTAATGTATATAACGGCACGTTTGATTTGTAGCAATTAGGTACTTGAGAAAAATACATCACGACTTTTTATAGTGAGGTTGTACTTTTTCACTTTTTATCGAATTTTTACTTCCTTGTTTCTTTCACTCTTTTTTTGTCAATAACGTTAGAAATTATGGTCCTCCATGATTATCTGACTTGACGGGCAGTAATTCGCCTCTACACATGTCTGGATTTAACTTAGTAATAGAGGTTAGTAGGTGCCACTTCTATCAATAGCCTTGAAATCGCCAGATTGCACAAATGTCACCTCTATCTGTATTACAGGCTCGTACGTGTCAGACGGCACATTCTCATCTGGTAAAATTCTTACAGGTCACCTTACTTTTTCCCCATTACAGATCAGTGACACAAGTTCAACATTTAGCTTCGTATACGTCACATGTCACTTTTCTTATTAACGGGTTCGCATGGGCCGTGTGCCACAGATCTTGGTATCGGGGCAGTAAGGACTAGATGATACTGCATCCATTTTTCAGGCTTTTGTTGAAGGAATACTTAGTTGTTATCTGGGTCGTACGGACTTGGCACCACTTCTATCAAACACTGGATGAATCTTGTCACTGGCTCTGTGGCATACAAAGATTGAGTTGATTAACAATTTCATACATCATCCAAGACATTTCGCAATTTGTTATTTTTACAAAAACACATACATGTTCAAGGTTTATGAGCAGAATGTGTAATAAGACAGCAAATCTCCTTAACTTCTAATAAACATATGTAAAATCAGTTTGATGACATTATAAACACTGTACATTGTTTCAATAAAACAAATAATACACATTATTGTAAAAATATTTTGAACATTTTATGACCAAGTACAGCAGTAATGGGGTGATCCAGCATATACAAAATAGAAATTATACAGAATGCATACATGTATACATAGAAGTAGATTATATAAGTCTGATAATTGGTTTTATAGTTTGTATCACTTACTGAAACAACCGTTGTCAATGTGGTAATGAACGAAGGGAAGGTATACAACCAAGCCGCTCATTATAATGACGAAGGTATAGAGGTATTCAAAAGTAGGATCCTGAATGATGGGCGTTATCGTCAAATACACAAAGCAAACAATGAACATCAACGGCAAAGGGAGAAATATCTGTTCAAATAAAAGAAAATAAAACATTAAAATGTGGTATATTCCACCGGACTTAATATTGTACATATTTCAATGTATTTCAATATTAAACATTAATCAATCATTTATTGGTGAAAAATAAACATGCGACCAAATACATGTATTAAGAAATATTTTAGAAATATTTCTTTTTATCCTTCTACCACCACAAATATCAGCCGATAAGTTTTGTCAGATCTGTCAATACAAAGTGCTTTGTCTATCAATGTGATTAACACTTATTTTGGTTCTGACGTGCTACTGTCAAGCTGACCTGAACTTTGACCCTCGTGTGTCATGTTGATTAAATATAAGTGAGTAACGTACGTGAATAACAGGTTGAAATTTCATGCGATTAATCTATACTATAAATTGTTATGGTATTAAGCTATTAATTATCGAAAATAGTGTTGTGCGACAATATTACACACACTTACGTGACCTTACTCTCTGTTGGTATTAACTTATAAAAGAAATTATATTATAATTGCGCATTGACATTTCTGAAAGATGTAAATGTAGTTTCCAGGAATGATATTTTCCTACGCGACATATGGGTGCATAGCTTCATTACAATGAAATATAAACAAATTGTACTTTTCCGCGATTGAGGTGGATAACAATCTGCAGGATAAACAGAATACAGTGTCAGAAGATGCCACGCTTCTCGTCTTTCCTAGCACTCTCCAAAATAAACCTTGAATTATAATCCGTTTACCAATTATGCATCCTCCATTTTGTCACATAAAAACCGATGAAAAATCAATATGGTCATCGTAAGGTGACGTGTAATGTATTTAGCAAATACATTGATACTTAAAAATAGGGAAATAAATATGTAAAGGTATCACTGATGTTAAGCATGAATGGGGGTTGACAAACTCCGCCATTAAACCGAGATGGGAATAATTTTTAGGTTTCCGAACACAGGCTTATTACAAGCTATGCACTATGGAAACATTGGCCATATTTGAATAATATACATGTTTCATGGGCTCACTACCAATTTAAAGGAAATCACCAACCCACGTGTACTTAAAAAAAAGCAAAGTTTGTTCATGGACACCCATCCTGTACCACTACATGTATATGTAGTTGCATGCCATGCGTTCAAACATGAGAACAATTACATAACTTCAACAATATCTCCTCTGAAAAATTTTGGTAAGCATGTAATAAATACATTCACACAAGAACATTAATGAAGTAGACATCCCATGCGAACTGCAGTTTACCACCTGCAGCAAACTTTCGTACACATTTATTTTGACAAAATATCGATATCAATACAAATATATTACTTACACAATTACTCCTTGTAAGTGTGCAGACCTGCTCAAGCAAGTCTCGAATTTGTAAAAAATCTTTTTAGGTTTATGAGTTGTTTTGGGGATATCTGATACCTCACAATGCACATCTTATTTTTTGCCAGGAACAGAAAGACGAAGATGACTCGCCTCTCGTTTTGCCTAACCCTCGTCAAAATAAGCCTTGTATTCTGATATAATAATCTTTTTTGTCTATGTGTAGCTTCTTTAACAATGTAAATGGTCTGATGTTATTTTCTGATTTTCACTGACAGCACAACAGACAGCAAGTCTACTAATCTAAGAACACATGATCACTGTAAACGCTAACCTTTATATGGCGATGTGCGTCCTTCATGGTAAACCTCAGGACTACCAGAGATACAGTTGTTAGAGCATAAAATGGTAAAGCAGCTAGACTGAAGAAATCTATAAGACTCTCCACATCACCATGTATCAGCATCAGTAGAGACAATGTCGTCTGAAAAAAAACCCAATTTGTTATACCAAAGTGAGTGTAATATCTCCAGATCTGAATCAATTTTGCAGCTACACATAACTTAATTCATTAACTGTATTATAATGTATCTTAACTGTGTAAAATAAACTAAATCTAGAAAAAGGTAATAAAGTGTCGCCTGAAACGTTCTTTCTAACATGAACACAATAATTGTGCATATGCAGTTAGGTCCAAGCTGACCCTGGCTGTCGAAGGGCTGTTAAACTCCAAATAGATCAATTCAAAATAAACATCAGTAGCATATGTGGGCTCTGAGCGAATATCGCTGTCTCGTTATGTCCATCCTTTATTTTGATAAATTGTACAATGACACAGTCTCACAAAATCTATCGAATTTTTTTTTTCGTGTATTATTGTAACACAAATTAATCATCGATATCGAACAACTGGCAGGTCTTTTCAAGTTCTCTCTGGGGGCGACTATAATGAAGATTATATATAAAGGAAGATAACTTGTACAAAAATACACACAATTACAAACAGCTATTGTTACACTATCAGGATATATCATATAAACTATCATCATATTACCATAAAGTTACTGGCAGTCCATGTGCATAAATATATACACTGGTCACAGCTCTGTAGGTTTTATCTCCTTTCAGAGTATTTAGTTTTATTATTTGTATGCTGCAAAACAAGACTGATTAAACAAATCCCATATCAGAAAAACATGCGCAAAAGGAAACTCATTTGTCTTCATAAAAATACAATCCGTACTAAATTAACATACACTGTAGTATAAAAGGGCGTTTTTCAGATATTTTGATATTCTAACAAAATAACACAATGAAAACAGGAAAGTATCATGCATGGCTATTCAGATAAAAAAAAAAGTATGGTTTAATCAGTAATGTTATTAGTGCGACACATTACTTGGAAGAAACTGTCAAAGTAATTGTTAGTTCTGTATATCACTGGATTAAAAAGTATTGATTGTCTGAGGGCATAGGAGCTATCATTTAGATTGTTTATAAAAAAGGGGATTTAGGGCATCTTGTAAGTACTGAGGTGACAGCCCATGCTATATTTTATGCCAATAGAGTTTCCCAACCTAATTCTTTCTAAAGTTTATTGTGAGATGTTCCAGATCGAAGTCCTGTTATTAGGCTTGCTGCCTCTAATTGAATAGATTATAGAAGATATTTTGACTGGTTAGTGCAATGATCCCATATTATGTCTGCATAATTTAATATTGGCCACTTAAATGCTGTGTAAATTTTGGTTTATGCTTTACGATTAACATCAGTTCTTCACACAAATTATAGAATTACAGAATTTGCTGTTTCCAATTCCAAGTTGTATCATCTTTAAGTGTCGTCATCTGCAAAGGCGTAATATTAGTATAAACATTGTCAGTGATATCATTGATGTAAGGGAGAAAAAGAGTCCCTAGAACAGATCCCTGAGGAACCAATGCATTAAAAACCTTAAACCGTGACTGATAGCCTTCAGTAGTAACTCTTTGTAATCTATCTCAAAGATAATTTTGAAAGCACAAGAGCATGACGTACTAAATGCAATGTCATGTGGATGTTTAGTTTTGATTGGACGACGTGAAACACGTGAAATGTTTTTATATCCCATAGAATCGTTTAACATGTGAAGTGTCATTATAGAACCGTAAAGGGCATAATAAGTTTCCTCTTTATGTCATTTTTCTACTATCCTTTTATTGGTGAAGACGTTAAAATCCATACAAAATTTCACTACTTATCCCTATCAAAATTCAAAGAATGTTACGTACCGTAAAAACAATGCACGGAATTGGAGTATACCGTTTACAACTAACGTACGACAAAACCTCCGGGAATTGGTGTTCCCTTGCCGCCGCGTAGAGTGTCCTGTTAAAGAACATAATCATGGATCAGATCAATTGCATAGTCGTAACAATACACACTAAACAAGGAAATATATTCGGAGGTAAATACATAATAAAGTGCCATGTAAACAGATTAAACTGATTTTTCTGAAATTCTCTTCAAATTCCTATCCATGTAGTCGACAAGCATGGATCAGTTAAAAGCATACATTGTTTAAACTTCGTTTTTTTTTTTTATTTATTTATGATTGTTCCACACAATTGTTATGTGAATCAAAACCCGGCTAATACTTACCGAACACCAGAGAACATGGAACCATTGGCTGAGCCAAACGTGGAAAACATCACAAAAATAGGCATGACGATACCAGCGGGCCCTAGGACCCTCTGTCCCCATGTCTACAAGAATGTATAAGTGTATTCATACGGCAATCTATCTTCTAATAATTGGACATTAGCTACGTCTTTTAATTATCAAATCCTGGAATGAAGCTGACATTTCAATTCACAACAATAAAGCAATTAGAATATAAATATGATGATATACTTGAGCAGACTTCCAGAGTCTTCAGTTTTTGCATCTTATCAAGCTCACATCAAATGGTAATGATGTTGGTTAAGGATAGATGTATGGTCAATCTACTATAACTAAGTACAAAAAAGAAGCAAATGTTGGTGAAAATAAATGCATTATTTTTGCTAATGTTGCTGGATTCCAAAATAAAATAGAACATCATGTAACAATTTATAGCCTTAAATTTACGTTTATCTATGTTTTGTATTATAACACAATTAGGACTGTTTTTAAAAAGGGTTATATATCAAGGGGGCCAACCTAAACCGTAGGTCACGGCCTAACTATCCCCGGTCACAACCAAAATGGCGGCGACCATCCGCTTCACGACACAGCGGTGAGTAAAATAAGTGTTTTGTCTGCTTACAGAGAACGTTCCTTATCACATCAATATTGCGTTTCGGATCTAGAGGAATTTATCTTTATATTCGTGCAACGAATTCACAATATAACCCAGTCCTGTAAAAATAAACGTGAAAAAACCTCAGTGTTTTGACAGTCAAAACTGGTATCGAGGTCGGTTTTCCTACTTATTTGACTAATATATTACATATCAAACATTTGTATGGCGTAACGATAACAGAATATGTAACGTTCTCTGTAAGCAGACAAAACACTTATTTTACTCACCGCTGTGTCGTGAAGCGGATGGTCGCCGCAATTTTGGTTGTGACCGGGGATAGTTAGGCCATGACCTACGGTTTAGGTTGGACCCCTTGTATATATCCCGTATTAAACACTGAATGATTATATACATTATCAGTATTAACACCATTTAAATGATAGAAAACTGGAATGACGTCCGTTACGATTCTTTTAATGTCACCCAGATTACAGACATATGAAGAAATATTACATATATATATATATATATAATACGACAACTGTTTAATAGTTTTATTTACATTTCGGTCATAAAATATTTCGTGTCGAGTTAATAAAGTTAACATATTTTACACTGTTTGATATTATTGCTTTTTAATTTAAAAAAACGTCCTTAAAATGACAATCATTAAAATGGTTTGGAGTTAATCCGAAACATGTGTTATCTCATGCATTTGTAAAAGACTGACATAACGCAGGTCAGTGTGATGCCCAAATCATTACGCGGTATTATCTTCTTTTGTTCTAAATTGTATCTATATTCTTGTTAGTATAGTAAACAATGAGAAAAATAGACACTTTCACGCAGAATGTGATTATAGCTCTTATTCGCTTCCAAGGGTTCAAAATTTAGGCCCTACGCATCGCTGACGAGTCCTAGAAGGACAAAACAGTTCTGTTATGCAGTTTAATTAATTGTTTTAATCTAATATATCTAACTGTAAACATGTACTTAAAAGTGCTCTTCACGTGTGTGTCTTTTGTAAAATTCCCTGACAAACACTCTGACCTACCACAGCAATGGTACTGGATTCCAGGATGCCATCCACACCAAGCACGGCGATGTAGGAGATGTTTGCAAGGATGTATAGTACCGTAACCATGGCCATCCCAAATATATTGGCTAGTGGCAAATTTCTACAAAACGATAAAATAAAAATCTTATTTAATTTATTCATCACAATATAATCATGCAGCTCTTTATTTGCTCAAGATCAAATACCTAATCGAATAATCAGATTGATTTAGCAATTCATCCATGATCAGTTCTGAAATTGAAATATTGCGAAAAATTGAAAATTTGCAACATCAGCGATTCATACTTACGCTTAAAGCTTGCATTCTAATTTCAAATGTTACTCTTCCATGTTATTTTCTCTCCTCGAACATAATAAGAAATATATGCTTAAATATAAGGCTGATCATGGTCACAGTTTTCTACTGAAATTATGGATTTTTAAAAAATCACATTTATCCGGTAGAATTTTACATACTAGCTTTTTACTTACACATAAGGATTCTTCAGCTCCTCTGTAACATAGTTCAGTGTGTTCCTAAACACACAAAAATATCATGGCATTCATAAAAATAGACCAGAGAAACGTCATAAAAATAGACCAGAGGAACGTCACAAAAATAGACCAGAGAAACGTCATAAATATAGACTAGAGAAACGTCACAAAAATAGACCAGAGAAACGTCATAAATATAGACCAGAGAAACATCACAAACAATAGACCAGAGAAACAGATGAATTAAAATATTGATTAAAATTTGATATCATATAAATTGTTTGTTACAAATAAGTAAATGTTTCTCGTGTTCGTACCATCCATCGTAAGCCCACAGAGCATCATAGAAGGCCAGTGAAATGGACGATACGGATTCGGATGTGGCTGAACTTGTAAACCCAGTTAGATGGTGTGTTTTACCTACAACCATTGTTTGAAATAAAAGTTCAACGATAAGAATATCAAGCTTTAATGAGGAAAGGTAACTGACATTACTGTTAATGATCTTAATTATTTTAACTGCAAATTACATGTCTTCGAGGATGGTTATTTTGAGCGAACAAAGGGCGTTAAAAAATGAAATTGTTTAATACTAATCTATCGAATACATTTCCTTCCGTTGATATTTTGTAAACGCAATTGATGAAGCGCATCAAAATTTTAACAAGCTAGTGTACTGCTCAATTTTTGCATGCTCAGTTATTTCTATGAAAGCAGCAAACTACAGTTGCCGTAATAATATTTCAGTGCAATACGTGCAGGGGAAAAATCGCCAAATTAAAATTACCGATAAAATAAACGTTTGAATCATATATCCTGCCATTCATTCAAAACACAAAACAGCAATGATAATTACATCGACGTATTGTCACCCCATTTGCAATCTGTACTCGAATTAAATTTCAATTAGGTAAACATATTTGATGGAACATTAAAAAAATGTACGCTTGAACTTTTTCAAAGAAACTACAGAAAGAAATAGTTAATAGGATTCTTACCCTGTCCTATCCAGATAAATCCACCAACTATGATGATGCCGATGGCGATAAGTTTAAAGGCGGTGAAGAATACTTGTACACTGGCAGCAAGTTTCGTGTCCCAGCAGTTAATGGTGGCCAATGTAACTAAGTAGGTACAACATGCGTTAATCTCATTGAAATATTTGCATTTAAAGTAAACACAGTATAAACCGTACATCAGATTACAGTCTCAATTCAATAATGGATCGGTATTGTCCTTTAATTACAAGATATCATGTATCACTGGCAAATCATTGCAATGAGATAATCTAGAGTTATAGTATCTGAACGATATCCCGAGTTGTGTAAACTATGTACCTAATATGATCTGTGAATTCAAAATAAGTATACATGTATCTGAACACATTACATGATGCGTTCCTTATGTACGCTTTAGTCGTTTATATTTCAACATTTCTAGGTACTGAGGGCAAAAAGTACTTTTTAGAGTTAGAATATTTCGATGAAGTGAAAACAATGATATGTGTATACAATATGTGATTATAAATACCCTGTCTATGAACTCATTGCATTATACATTCCTTACGCCCGCTTACTGAGTGTAGAAAGACATTTCATGGAGTTTAGATATTTCGATTAAGTAAAAAAAAAAGTATATAATATGTGAGTTTACTCACGTAAGTGCACGGCTGTTTTCCCAAGTGTGGGTTACTATTGCGATTGATCACCCAGTTAGGCCTGTTTTCAGAGGTAATATATAGAATGGTCTAATGATTTCGAACTCGAATTTGGAAAAAAAACTTTTGTTGCTATAAGATAAAGGACATACTTGCGTTCAAGTGATAGCCGCTTTTGAGAAGGATTGGCTATGGGAAGTTACACTGTTATACATGTTGGTTTACTAAAATCGTAGTGACTGGAATAAATAAGATGATTTTGCTAAAACGTTGAATTATGAAATTCAAAATAATGTTATGTTCTAATCAACATACGTATAGTCAAGGCTGCGATAAGTTTGCTTGGTATCTTTGGGGAGCCACAGTAGTCGAAGAAGGTTACCATGTGCTCCGCAATACTGAGCCCGTCGATGGCCAGGTCAGAGGGGGTCATGATCATTATCTTTGTCCATGCAAACAGAAAAGCGATAACTCTCCCCAGTCCCCTCCATAGGTAGGGATAATCACATCCAGACTTGGTTATTAAACATCCGAGCTCGGCATATGCCAGCGAACCTATCGACAAACAAATATTACAAAGGACAATGAAATTGGCCGGAAAAGGCAAATGCTTGTTGTGAAAACTTTTTTGTGGGTTTCAATATTTATCTTCATAAATAATTGGTTGGTTTCCTATTAAATAGTCTTTCAATTCAGTTTAGACAGTCACAAGTATCATAACTGATCGCAATTGCAAAACGAACAAAATGATATATCGTAAACATCAACAAGACCTGTGGAATACGAAAAGTAATTTGAACATTGAATAGTTCCTTTGATGTTTTAGCATCGTCTATGTATGCATGGCAATATCATAAACACCTGACGTGGGAGCATACTTGATATTAGTTGAAGGAAAATGCCACAACCAAAAGTATATAGCTATTTTTATCTTGGTATCACGCTTGAAACTGATATGTGACCTTGTACAGCTACATCCAGATAAAATTGATTGATATAGTTTACTCCATTGAGAAAATAATATTTTTCATACGCACAGGGGGCGAACTCTCTGCTAAAAGCACAGTACAGGCAAGATATACACATATAACAAATATCAACATTTCAATTATAGAAATCTGCGAAACAGCTTATGAAGTCATATACTAGATACGAGTATTCAATACTTGTAGGTGATGTAATAAAAAGTTTCGTCAGCATTTCAATTTGAGTCATTTACCATGTAATGGTAGCAAGTGGTAAATAACGTGGGTATAACACCCACAAAGTAAATCTTTGTCTATCCAAGTAAGCAATGTTACGTTTCCAAATAAGGACAACGGAACCAACAACAAATAAACGAGCACCATCACGTCCAGCTTTATATCGCATTTAGAAATGTAATATTTGTCATTAATCAACTTACTTTCATCAACCTGCATCTGAGCTTGCTTGAAAGTTGCCGACATCTTTCCCCAAAAATCTCGATATCAAGAATACGCTCTTTAATATTGAATCAACTACGGAATGCAGTCAGGACGATAAAAACTGTGTAGTTGGTTGTCACGATTACTCATCTCCTATTAAGGTACATTTGTCAGTATCTCTTAAGCGGATCAATAAACTATCATCTGATTTACCGGTGTGTACTTCTCCTACTTGTATGGCGTCCTGTTGAATTTTAATTGTTGAACTTTTCTAAGTTTTAAGAATTCGTCTTAACGATATTGCATTTGCAGTCTACCTCTACCCATATTAATTTTGTCTGTTACCTAGAAGGGAGAGTAATCCAGCACCTGCCCACACCGAGAGAGTGATTCCGACAGATCGGGTTTCTTTCAGTACACCTCTTGGAGTAATGAATATCCCTGCTCCTGGAAAACAATATCGAAAGCGACATTTTAATATTTCTGTTAGTTTTAGATATTATGGAAATACGTTCATGATATATTGAAAATCCAAATACAAATAGTATTACCTAAAGCTATAAAAACTTAAAAGAGAATGCTGCAACACTACACCTCCAGGAATAGTGAAATTGTAGGTCTGCCTAATTGTCGTTGCCCGCCTGTTTAGTGTTCTTTTTTAACGAGTTGTGTGCGTTTATTTACCAAATCACGCTAATATGTAGTAAGTATGTCAGGGTATGTTGAACATCAATATCAAAATACGAAAACATTTCCACTAAGGTGTTCTATTTCACATTAAAAATTAATTCATTAGAACAAGAGTATCAGTGTCACCGATGGATACTACTTGAAAACGACTGTATCGGACACAAAATTTTAACAAAGGACCATAATCTGTAGGCACTGTGCACTGGCTTTGGTATACTGCACATAAATAAAAGTAATTCATACACCAAGTTTCATGATCCTAGATTTAATGCAAGCGAAGCTATGGTCATGATACAAAGTTATAACAAAGGCAACATCTCGGTACTGAGGGGCCATGGGCCCAGTCTTTGCTCTACTGCACCTTACTTTTGTATGACTGATGTGTACATCAAATTTCAATATCGTAGTTTGATTGTAGACAAAGTGATAATCTAGAGAAAGTAAAAAAAGGCAATAATTCTGTTATTATGGTGTTTTGAGACCTAGCATTAATACACTGCACGTTGTCTTCGTATGTTCAATATGTACACCAAATTTCATTATCCTTCCTTATATGCATGCAAAGTAATGCACTGGACAATTAATTTTTAACAAGTGACACTAACTCTGTAATTAAGGGGTCGTGGTTCTTGGAATTCGTACACTGTACATCGTCTTAGTATGATCAATGTATACACCAAGTTTTATTATCCTTGCTATAGTATGGGCAAAGTAATGATCCGGACACGAAATGTCTGACCAAAAGACGGACGGACGGACGACAGTGAGTGTGGCTAAAATTTTCCCGGAGCATAAAAAGATAAAATCTCATAGTTGACAATTTATATAATGGCAACTTTTGTGTAGGAATTCGCTGCTTTTTTCATGGCTGTACCCTCAATTATAAAATTGAGGTTAAGTTTGAAATGTACAATATAAGTTAATGTCCCAGTGAAGTTTCAGCTGGAGCAAATCGACACGTTTTGGTCTCTCTGGCAAAAATACTTTTGATGTAAACCATTATTCTCTCTATGTTATCCAATAACAAGCGTAAACGCAAAATTCATTTCACTGCCCTTAATCGCTATGATATTTTATACAGTGTAACAAACATCACGTACCTGTAGTATTTAGATACTGTCAGAGTTTACCTATTGACATACTTTGTGTTTGACTATAGTGAGAGCGAATAATTATATCAACTTAAAACTTATCCTGTTTTGTCGGGATATGGTATAAACAATGCTTTAACTTACAGCGCAATGAAGTTAGGCCGATTAATTTTATCTTTTCGATATAACAATATTGATCCACGTTTTAAATCACTATTAACCGAATCTTATCATTCGTTCATTCGTAGATGTTTTGTTGAATCGCTCCACAGTATTACTTAGGGACAGTGAATACTTCTTGCAAATAATCTCCAAAAGAATCATTCTACGATCATCAAATTTCATCTGTTCTCATCTTGGACATACCTAAGTTCCAACAGCTCGATCCTTCGATGTTTTGAGAAATCAGGTTAACAAGATCACACTTGTATCTATCTATAAGATTATCTATCATAACTTTTCACTGTAGAGTCTGCTGTTATGATTACTCAGTCGATGGGACGATACCTGTGTTATATATATTTATGGACAGGGAATATATTTGCTTATATCTCCAAAACGGATCAAAATTTGATCACCAACACATTTATATCAAATGAAAAGAACCCGGACGTGGAAATGGTTTACACATATTCCCTAATAGTCTGACTTACCTATTACTGAACCCACGACAAATGAAGTACCGCTGACCAGACCAATATTTTTCTTCAGTTTAACACCGGCCCTAACGTCAGACAATCTCTTTTTATCTTTTGTAGCCAGCATCTCTATAAATAGATATCGACTGAAAATTCTATTTCTTATTAATATCAAATATTTCAATTTCTTCCTAAATCACACTCAATGAAACTACCAAATGTGATCTGTTTCATATACCGATGAATTTGACCAGATTAACATTGGCAGTGCGTATGAATACAAATATTAGGTAAGGGGAGAAAAAAACATCAAAATAAAAATTTAAAAACTATTGAAAACTATTAATAAAGTTTAAAAAAAAAGAATTTTGTATTCATCATTTAATAATGGTAACTTTACGTTTCAAAAGATGTGAAGCGACTGAAGCCTGATATTTCTTGTTCTCCGCTCCGATGCCTGTAAAAAAATGGCCGACACCGCTTCGTTTGCGAACCGGCTCACCACGCCTAGACGTTATTCCTCCGCGGGGAAAAATGCATACTGTCATTGTCGCAGTTTTATTTATATAAAAAATATATTAAATTCGCAGTTTATTAAATTTGTCTCAAGACCAACTCAATTCATTATCCCATAAAATCGACATAAGCAAGATTCAATCATTAGCAAACATACGATGGAACATATTTTGTTCTGATGGTAGAAAACGCTAAATATTGGGACAAGAAAGTAATCGAGCGTTATGAAATGATACTAACACAAAAGGAATAATGCCGAAACAATATTTTTCTGATACGATTTTTCTTGCACTTTTTTTTTTACTAAACTTTAAAGATGGATTCGATTAAGCAAAAATGTCTCGAAATGTCAACGACCTTTAAACTCACATATTGGATAATACATCATATGTTACTTTGTCCGGGTGAATGTGATTATTCGTAAGGCAAACCGAGAACAACGGGAAAAGAAAAAAAAATCCAAATAATTACTTACCTTGTTTGTCATTCTTCATTACCTCGTTTTGAACGCCTGATGGTCAATCTTGTAAATCAGTTTCTGCTTTCCACAACATGTATTACAAAGTGCCTCGTTATATCGGTAATGCGTTGATGAGAACCTTTATTACAGGTAAAGTAAATGAGATGTATTTCATATGTGCAGACCCTTAACAGCAACTAAAATCGCATGCTGATCCGCTTGAAAGAAAGTAAATTATACAAATATTTGAAATAATTTGAAAAGATATGCATTTGTACCTCCACACAATTGTCAAATGTTCAGAACTTCTCAATTGTTAGCGAGAAAAAAAAAGGTAATTGCGTTTTAAGATATCTTCATGCAGTAATGAGATCGTTGTTATCACGCCCTGGTTCATATTTCTATATTTGAAAAGAGCCATGTCAGCAGGACTATTTATTTTTAGTACGGCATTACTTAAGAAAAATTGACACTCCACATGAATCAGTGCATTCATGATTTAATACAGATAAAGTACACGTTTACTCAGAATAACAGTCTCAACTATATCACATAGCTGTTCGTCCTGCTTTTAGTAAAATTCGGGAGCAAAAGGAAATACAGAAAATCTTATTCAAATTTAACAAATGTAGAAATATCAAAACAGATATACTAACAATATAATTCGACCAGTCCTGAAAAAGTTGATGCATATCTTTGTATAATTAGTTTTTTTTGGGGGTCAAGCAAGCTCCATTAGTTTGTGTACAGAAATATAACACCTCTCTTATTGGTAAGAAATTACGTCAACATCTAAAAGTTTAGACCGGGATGATATAAAAGTTGCACCACTTAAGTCACCTCACTACGGTCTAATCAGGTAACAGAAGTGTTATTAGAAATTTGATAAACCTACATACCAAACAAAATTCAAATTGTAGTCGCCTCCATAAAGCAAGTAATTTCTTTAATCAGAAAATGGACATTAGTGTTGTGTTACGACAACTATATACCGATCTTCATTGCCATCGGGCAAAAATTAAATTTCGACCAATCAGAAACCTCCCTTCTACCGCCATTTGAATAAATCGGGAAAAAACGATTTAACATTTTGATTCTGATGTCCGACACTATCTTTTTACTTTTATTCGAGAAAATAAAATGGCATCTAGATTTCGATTAATAAGAAACTCTAACGACGCCTGCCATTTTTTGTTCATTTCAAAAAATGTTTTTGTTGAAGTTATAGACTGTCATGTGTAGATGCTTTCCACCAAATTTCATTTTTAACAGTTAAAACTAAAGTTATTTCTCGACAAATTTTCGACCAACTAGACACAAGGAATTGGCGCCCTTTTGAATTTTGTAGAAATAATTGTATTTTGCACATCCTCAGTTGTCAATGTAAAGCCAAGGCGATCGGGTAGATAATTTTCAAATGACAGTATCGGACATCGTTGGCAGATGAAAGGAAAAACAGAACATCTAAGAATGTGAGGAGGAAAATGATGAGAAATGGAGTTTCAATTGCCTTCCTACTTCGCTTGGGGATTTCATTTTGTATATATATGAAAATACAGCAATATATATTAGGCTTTGTCCTGGTATCCTTCGTTGGGTGGAGACCATAATCTTGGTGTTCGCGTTTTTCGTGTACGTAATGCCTTCAGGATTAAGTGTTGAGGTAACACACTAAAGAAATAATGCCTACACACTATATTTCTGGTCTACATTGCACTTTTTATCGCGAGAGGTAAATAAAAGAAAAAAACTGGTTACATTTTTATTGAAATATATGCATCTTGTATATGAATTTATTAGATTTTTAATAAATATATATTCGCCAAACAGTGTTTGACCGTTAGGATAACTTTTGACTAGGTCTGGTGAAAATGCCTCGAAATGTCGTCAATTTAGAAAAGATAATATAATTTCCTTTTCAGTGTGGTTATCTCATCTGACATATATGTTACTTTTTCTGGATTGGTGTGATTAATTGTATGATGAAAAAGTGATAATGGAAGAAGAGAGAAAAAACCAAAGAATTACTTGCCTTGCCCTCACTTTTCATTCACCACTATCACGTTCTGGACGCCTGATGGCAAAGCTTGTCAACATTTCCTAGTGTCTCGTTATATCATTACTACGTCAATCGCAATTTTTATTACATGTGAAGTAATTGAGACAATTTTACATGTGCAGACACCTTTACAGCAAATAAAATTACACTCGATCCGCTTGAATGAATGAAAATAATACACACGAACATTTGTTTATTCATCGTCCACGGCTCTGAAGAAGATATATATCTTCATACAATTGTTAAGTTCTCAGAATTACGGGTTTGCTGAGAAACAGGTCAGTCATTACTTCGTATTTAGGTATCTTACTGCAGCAATAAAATGGGATCATTCATTATAACGCTCAGGTATATATGTTTTTATGAAGCATGATTATTTATATTAAGGATTTCAAACACTCCACATGAATCAATACACCCTCACTTTGTAATAGATTAAGGACACGTTTACTTAGTATATACACCTAAGTTTGTCACACAGCATTTCATCATGCTTGTTAAATAAATGTAAAAAACATTTAAAGATATATGTATACCCCATAACTTAAATAATCTGGTAATATTTGATGTATGAATTCGTGTTGAATTAATTAGGTTTATCAGATATCCATTAAATTTCTGAGTATTTGCAGTATGTGATACAATAAACCCAAACAGTATATCAAACTATATCATACAAGTCACAATACAGGGTTTCGAGGCATTCAGTTTAACAAAGAAGTGTTGTGGTCGTTATAGTAATACCATTAAAAATATGTTGCCTTGTACGCTATGAAGTTAGACGTCTTTGGTGTTCGTTAATATGTCTGAGTATTCTGTTGTTGTTTATTTTGTTCTTATTTGGGAACGTGACATTAATGTCTTTGTTCGACCAAAATTTACATCGCGGGTGTCATCTATGAAGCAAAATATACTACTCCATTTGCAACACCCGGTCTTATTTTCCTTGTACTTTTTAAGGAGTCTCCGTGTAATTCTTAACTAATTTTCCTACGTTTCATCAAATCGGAGTTTTAATTAAGATTTTTCTATTATGTCGATAATTTCTTTATTAAATATGCATTTAATGATGGAAATTAAACTTTGAGTTTATTTTAGATGTATGAGATATTTTGATAGGTTTTCATTGACTTTGAATTTGAAATAACTTTCTGTTAACATGTCGATACCTTTTGGTGCTATATAAAGTACAATATAATGAAAATTTTGTATTTATGTAAGATTCTCACAAGAACTGATTTTGAATGCTTAGAAATACGAATTCTTATCAAGTAACATACATCATGTAATTCGTTTCCATTTTCACAGACACCCTAACAGCAGAAAACATCACACTAATACATTGGAATTAATTTGAAGAGATATTCATTTGTACCTCCATACAATTGTCAAGTTTTCATAACTTTCCGTTTGGTCGCAAGAAAAAGGCAATTACTTTGTAATAAGATCTCTTCATGCAGTAATGAGATACGATCGTTGATTATCACGCCCTGGTACGTATATATATATATATAATTATTTGAAAAGCGCTGTGTCATTAGGACTATTTATTTTTAGTAAGACATTAAAAAAAAATGACAATCCACATGAATCAGTGCGTTCATAATTTAATACAGTGATTGACCGTTAGGATCACTTTTGATTCGGTCTGGTGAAAATGCGCCGAAATGTCGTCGAATTAGAAATATAGAGGATAAGAAGATTATAGAATTTCCTTTTCAGTCTGGTTACTTCATCTGCCAAATATGTTACTTTCTGCGGATTGATGTGATTAATTGTATGATGAAAAAGAGACAATGGGTAAAGAGAAAAAAATCCAAATAATTACTTGCCTTACCCTTACTTGTCATTCACCACTTTCACGTTTTGGACGTCTGATTATATCCTATTATAGATTAAAAGGCCTTACTGTCGCCATCTTCAGGAGACAAGAAGCTGAACATAGAATTCTAAGGGATAACAGAGTGAACATAGTGTTTCCTGATATCTGTTAACAACGTGGTGATCTACACAAAGTGTTGTCAAACTTCTTTACTGATTTCATCTCCATTATGTCTAGTTTTTTGTCTTGCTTTCCTTGCAGCAGAAACATCTGATGAGAACCATGAATATAAGGGTAAAGCTGGTTAGGAGGAAGATTTATACAACGCCTATAATAACAAGAGTTATCAAGGAGTCTGTAATAAAAGATATGAATCATGGGTGGGTAAGATTTATGTTTTATTATCACTTAAATATTTTTTATGAGTGGCAACATAAATATCGAATAAATTTTTCTGTTTATTTTTGGAATTTTGGAATAATCATTGCAAACATTAAAAGAACAGTAATCTTCTCAGCATAATAATGAAAGTTTTCACAAACATATCCTTAAAAAGAATTTTGAAAGAAACATTTAGATCCTTTCAATTATTGCAATTAAGTTGGGTTTTCTTCAAAATTTATATTGCTGCACTTTATTGTGGTCGTAAAATAAGGTTAAAAATAGCATTGTTTTATTGCTCTTTTCTAATTCGCCAAGTATTGAATTGTAACATTTAAAAGAAATAGCAAATTTGTAGAGATATAGACGAGACAAATGTACACAGGTTATGTGGCCGGATCCTTCGAGTTTATTTGATACGTGATAATAATGTAAACATCGGATTATGATATCACAGGTTATACGTGACACTACTGTAAACATGAGTATGTGATATCACAGGTTATATGTGACACTAATGTAAACATCAGGATATGTTATCACAGGTTATAACGTGATACTACTGTAAACATCAGGATATGTTATCACAGGTTATAACGTGACACTACTGTAAACATCAGGATATGTTATCACAGGTTATAACGTGACACTACTGTAAACATCAGGATATGTTATCACAGGTTATAACGTGACACTACTGTAAACATCAGTATATGTTATCACAGGTTATAACGTGACACTACTGTAAACATCAGGATATGTTATCACAGGT